AAGGTCTTAACTGTCTGTTGTAGATGATGTAGCAATTCTTCCATAGTAACTGGGGGATACTGTGCCATTAGAATAGGTGATTGATCTCATACTGGGCTAGAAATAGATGACTGTTCCCAAACTAGACTGGACATAAGTGAGTTGAGGGGTGACTGCCGTAAAAATTGAACTGGTGAACTCTGCCTAATTCTCCCCCGTCTTGTGATCGGTACGAGTGAGGTAAACACAGGCTGTCCTCAAACAAGATCCCCAGCTTTACGAAGTCTTCTGACTTAGGTCTAGACTACTTGGGGGATATCCAAACTTTTTGAAGCTATGGTTTTAAACTACCTAGCAAAAGAAATGAAGCAAAAGAGCAGCAATCAGAAACCGCACAGCACCTCAGCTAAGATGTTATCAACACAGACATGATCAAAGCTGTAGGACTGTACTCCACGCTGAATTCTGCCCCCCAAAACAGATACCAAATTTTGCAATTGATATGCACATTCCTGCATAGTTTCACTCTAAAGCACATACCAATTAAGAGAGAACCAAAACACCCCAATGAGAGAGTAGGGTTACCCTGTCCTAGTTTTGTCATGAACTAGGCTTCACTATTTCAACCAAGGGGTTTCACGCAATCTTGTATTTCGGGTGAGCATCCTGCCCTAGTTTGGAACAGTCACTATGGTTTTTCTATATGCAACTAGGCTAAATGGTCAAAAGGGTGAATCAGCAAGACTACCTAATATACCTCTCACACCTAACACCGAGAAGTGAAAGGAGGATCAAATGGTACAATGGTAGTCCAGATCCAAGGGCTCTGTTCCCATCATGGCAGAGCCCACGACCGATGACCCTTTTCACAAGCTTTTGGGCAAGCCTCCCGCAAACCGTCCAGGAATAGTAGAAGGCAAACACAATGACTTAGGTGCACCAATGCAAATACAATGCAAAGAATATATAAGTGTAGATAAAATTTCATATCATGAAGTTCGAGTCAAGTTCTCTAATTTCCCCAGCAAAGTCACCAGAAACTGTAGCTCGACTTTTTGTGCTCCTTTCAAATATGACTAGCCCTACAGTTCGGACTTCCGCGGTTCTAAATCTGATCTTACAAGTGCAATGTGAAATAAATAAATACCAAAGAGTCCAAATCTGACAAATCTTTTGGAAAATCAATTTTGAATCAAAATGCCAAAAATGGACTGCTTTGCCAAGCACAGAGTCACCACCTAAATATTTTAGGAAATTTAGGAAACCCACAACTCGTGCCAAAGGCCACGTGTCTGTTATCATCAAGATTGTCTCGGTTTGGAAACTTAGGTACGAGGGGAAGGTCATAAATTGAGCACCCCCACTCGCCCAATCAAAGATCGGCCTCTACTAATCATGATGTGAATCTTATTTACATTATATGCTCTTGTTCTGGTTATTACGCTAACATTACTATATAATGCGCACACAATTATAGACTAATATGCAAAAATTGGAACACTTTGACTCATGTATGTTTTTTGAAAATTGTTTCAAATATGTACCACTTGAAAAAGTGATCTCATATGAACATTACTCAAATTATTCCAATTCAAGCAATTAGCCTTTATCCACAGGCATTCAAGCAATTTATCACTTAAGCACTTAGCCTCATGGCAAGCAAACTAGACATGGCAACAATCACATTGATGCAATATGCTAAGGTACAAAAATGCTCACCTCGTACTCCAAGGCAAGCCTAAAAGAAACAAGAGAGTTAGAAAACATGCATGCTCCTAACTAATACAACATGACTAATGCAAAACATGCGGTATGTAACTAATAGGCTTGGCTACTGATTATGTCATGCGAGTCAGTTTGATAGCATGCGGTTTAAACACGTATTCAACAAAGTATGTAAACTACAATGCTTTGTTAAAATGATGAACCGAGCCTTGATGCGTTCAATACAAGTGGATGCAAACATCGAATATGATAAAAGAAACATGATGTTCTAAACTACCCATTATAAGCAAGTAAATAAAAGAGAGAAAGACGTGAGGTTGGAAGACATACACATTATTACAAGCTTGGCCCTTACGCAAGACAGCCCGAATGAATGAACTAGCTAATTAATTACCTAGTTAACTAACTATTGCAAACCGAATTAAACAAACTAACTATGCTAGCTAATTATTACAACACCACAATTAATTATTCTAGCTAATTATTACAAATTGGAACTAACTAATTAATTACACTAATTAATTAATTACAATTAACAACACAAATATAACCAAAGAAGTAACTAAGCTAAGTAATTAACTACTTTAACTAATCAGCCCTAGGAAGGGAGGAATGCTTATGCATGCACACAGATTCCCACCTGAAAAAGCCCACTGTTTTGCTGCCAGAATACCTCTGTTGCATAGTTGAAAAATTGCACTATTTTTTTACCTCTGCCTCTGCTCTGCTTTTCTAGACAAAGGACACTACTTGGCTGAAAAAGTGGCCGAAAACCCAGAAGTAGTGGCCGGCAGGCCACTAATAGTGAGTTACCGTCCAGTAAAAGTGGCTTACCTGCCACTGATGTTGGTTCTTTCCTGCAGCAACAGAGGACAAACAGAGCACAAACCAAAGTATTCTCAGGGGATGTTTGTCCACCCTACCTCTCCTTATCAACAAACAGGTCAAAAAAAGGGTTGGCTTGATTCGTAAACCATTAATCGATGCAATCTCATTGCGTGATGACTTATGAACCAAGGGACATAATTTCAATAAATGCATAGCAAAAGACCAACAAAACCTCCTCCCTATCATGGATTGATCAAGGGAAGTGGTTGACCTTGGAAACTTGAACCATTTCATCACTAGCAAGTACGAAATGACCCGAGTTTCCATGTGTTCAATTAACGTCTGATTGAACACAAAACCTTATTATCTTGCATCACTTTTAGTCCCAATTTTATTACTTAATTCCAATTAAACATCTATTCTTTAATTCATTTAGTCCAATAATGATCTTTAAGTCCACTGAAGGACGGAAGTATCAAACCAAGGGTTGGTTTAAGCATTGGAGAGATGTCATGCCATTGGTAATGAAGCCCCAAAGGGATTAAACCATTAAGCACAATGCCACTATCTCAAGCTTAAACACGCAATTAGTTTGAAACAACTCTCGAAGCAAAGAAAAAAGCAAGAAAGGAGAGAGGTTGCAGTGGTGATTAGAGATGAATACAATTATGAAAAGTAAGAAATAAACACTATCAACTCAAATAGGTTGGTTGCTAAGGCCTAAAACCATCGAACATATGAGGACTATTACACTACGAGCCTAAAATACAAAGCATGAATGAAGCTAGCTCATAAAAATAGGCATAAAATGGTCCAAAAAAGTACTGGAATTAAAATCAAAACAACTAAAGCAACTAGCTCAAATATTGAGGTATTAAAACTAGCACACAAGCACAAGGGGGGAAGGCTAACCCCTCCACTTTTAGGACTTCAAAGCATGATTTTTGCCTCTAAAAAACCTCCAAAAATCAGTGGTACAAAGCTAAAATAAAAAGGTGATAAGAAGGTGGGAAACACAAGGGCAAAGCCTTAGACGCAAGGTTCAAAGAAGGGTTATCAACCCCTCTACCTTTTAATGGTCTTAAACCACAAGTTTTAGCCCAAAAACATAGGTAATAAATAGCTCAAAAATAGCAGGAAATGATAGATAACAAACAGTGTAAAGATGGTACAAAAAGCACTAGAAGGTATACCTCTTGAAAAGGAATGAACCCTTGAGTTACAAACCACCAATCTCACACTCTCAAATGCCTCAAGAGCTAAAATTCAAGCCTAAATCACCTCGGCATGGAACTCTCTAGGTTTGGTTTAGAGTGTTTGAGCAAAAGTTATGTAAGTTGCAAGAGAGGGAGAGAGAGAGAGAGAGTTTTGCTCTTCCAAAAATATTTTCTTACTCCTCAATTTTTCCAACCTTGAAACCAAGAGGGGTGGTCATCTATATATATATATATATATATAAAACCATGTGTCTATTTGGAAAATATCGGTATACATACAGCTGGAATGGTGCTTGCACATGGGCGGACAGTTGGCAGAAAATATCTGAGTTTTTGCACTAGTGGCCGGCAGGTCCCTGGAGGCACAGGCCTGAAAAACCACTGCTTTGGTCCAAAACAAGGCACAAGGTTTGAAGGTTCAAAACTGAGGTTTCTTGCTGAGGAACTCAAGCATTTGACAAGCCATGAGTACACATTCATCATTGAGTGATCAATCAGTGGCGCCCAAGTCTTAAGGGCGGTAAAAAATGGGGTGTCTATAAGGCCTGAGGCCATTCTGGAATGAACTTACGAATAAAACAGGGACATGACTTATAATTATGTTCTTCAAAGCTTACGCTCATTCACATGAACCTCCTTATATTGCTATTATTCACTGAGCTTTGCTCCGTCTGTATTTATGTATATTTATGTAGGTGACAAGCTCAGAGGCGAGCCCTAGGTCAACTCCAGGAGCCTTTTGTTGGACCTGTATTGTCGAGCCTCCCAAAGTGGAGCCTTTTGCCTTTTGTGGGGTTCATTTTTATGTCACATGTTGTTAAGTCATTGGTGACTTTGTGTATAACTTTTGGGTTATCCACTCTTCATATATACCTATATAACTTGGATTTGTACATATCTGAACTGTTTATGTGACGTTTATATATGTGATACGATTTGTTTTGAATTTTGACATTAAGTACTGCTAAATGGTCGTTTTTTTGTTTATAGGCTTCCACTTTAGGCCATGCTATTGAATAAAATATTGTGTTGAAATTTTGTTTTGACGCCTAAGTATAGGCCGGTCATGGCTTAAACTTTTAGGGACAGGTTTGGGTCATGACAGTTGGTATCAGAGCACGAGTTGCTATCTCACACACGGGTCCATTTGAGCTTTGACTCTACAAAAGACTTAGGTTACATGCGTGTTTCTTCCTTATGCATACAATATGAAACATAGTAACATGATTTGTATATACAATTACCAATGACATGGATTATGAAATGAATACTGCCAATGTATACTTGTGTATCTTTCTGTGTGTATTATAATTTGTTGATATGTAGATCATGGTGTGGACAAGGATGGATGATTCAGAGGATTCTACCTCCGAATGGCTGAATAGGTTAGAAAGGATGATTATGGAAATGGCAAAAACTATGAGATAGCAACAGCAACAACAACCACTGCCGCCACCAGTGCCCATACCACCGCCAGTGGTGCAAGACCATCAAGCCCAGAACCAAACAATTACACTTACGGAAGAATTTAAGAAGCTGAAACTGCCTTTGTTTAAGGGGGGATTGATCCAATGAAAGTATAGGCATGGGTGCTGGGCATAGAAAAGTTGTTTGAGGTCTTTCCATGCACCAAAGCACAGAAAGTACAATTTGTCGCCTTCACTCTTGAAGATGAAGCATGTAGATGGTGGATGCTCACGAGAATTGAACATCATGGGTTGACTTGGGCTCGATTTCCGGAGCTTTTCTATGACAAGTATTTTTCGCAGTGTATGCGAGATAAGAAAGTGACAGAGTTTGAGAGTTTAAGACAAGGGAACAAGACCGTTGTAGAGCATGAAGCACAATTTGCAGAATTAACTCGTTTCGCACCACATATGGTGGATACGAACTATAAGAAAGTGAGAAAATTTGAAGGAGGACTACGGAATGCCCTTCTCGACCGGATCAATGTTCCAAAATTACCTACATATGTTCATGTGTTAGAAAGGGCAATAAGGGCTGAGGGTAATATCATTGCTGAAAATCAAATTTCTGAGTGGAAAGGGAAGAGGCAAAACACGCAAGCACCAAGGGGGTCAATGGCACCACCAAATAAGAAATCGAATTTGCAGACCTCTAGTACTTTTGCCTCTACTCGTGACTCAGCACCAGTTTGTCCGGAATGTGGAAAGAGACATCATGGACTTGTTATAGGGTAACTGGGGCATGCTTCAAGTGTGGGAAGACGGTTCACTTAGTGAGTCAGTTGAGCTGACATTGTTGCCAACACTGCATGTTGACCATGTAGCACAATTTCTATATCCATTCTTTCCAAATCAAGAAGCAATTCTTTCCACCCTATGAGCAAACTTGCCAAATTCCCTATACCTTTTCGGCTAAGAGCATCTACAACTATATTAGCTTTACCAGGATGGTAATGAATTTTTAGATCATAATCCTTGATAAGCTCTAAACACAGTCTTTGTCGCATATTTAACTCCTTTTGAGTAAAGAAATATTAGCGGCTTTTATGATCAGTGTAAACCTCACACGTGGTAACATACAAATAATGTCGCCATATCTTCAAAGCAAAGACCACTACAGCTAGCTCCAAGTCCTGTGTAGGATAATTCTTTTCATGAGTATACGCGATGACCCTTCCATTCTGCATGACTACACTGCCGAATCCTTTGTAAGAAGCATCACTGTAAATCACAAATCCCTCGGTACCAAATGGTAAAGCAAGAACTAGTGTTGTAGTTAACCTTGTCTTTAACTCTTGAAAGGAAGATTCCCTTTGTTTTGACCACTCAAACGAAACACCGTTCTGGGTCAATTGGGTAAGTGGCACAGCAATTTTATAAAAAATTTTAACAAATCTTCGATAGTACCCAGCTAAAACCAAGAAGCTACGCACCTTTGTCACATCCGTAGGAGTTGGCCAATTCACAGTAGCTTCGATCTTGTGTGAGTCAACAAAAACACCTTCCTTATTTATTACATGTCCTAAAAATACCACTTCATGTAACCAAAACTCACATTTTTTCAATTTTGCATATAGTTTCTTATCTTGAAGTGTCTGAAGAATTAATTGTAGATGGTTGTCATGGGCTTCTGTGTTTTTCGAATAAATAAGGATGTCATCAATGAACACAACTATGAATTCATCCAAGTACGGTTTAAAAACATGATTCATTAAATCCATGAAGGCCGCTGGTGCATTGGAAACCCCAAATGGCATAACCAGAAATTCAAAATGCCCATATCAGGTTCGGAAAGCAGTCTTCTCAATGTCTTCGGCTTTTACCTTTAATTGGTGATACCCGAATCTCAAATCTATTTTTGAAAAGACTTCTGCACCTTGCAGTTGATCAAATAAATCATTGATTCTAGGCAACAGATACTTATTCTTTACAGTTACTTTATTAAGCTCCCGGTAGTCAACACATAAGCAAAGTGTCCCATCTTTCTTCTTTACAAAAAGAATCGGTGTGCCCCAAGGAGATGTACTCAGGTGAATAAATCATTTACCAAGAAAGTCTTGCAACTGTACATTCAATTCTTTCATTTCAGTCGGTGACATTCTATAAGGAGTTTTCGAAATAGGTTGAGTTCCTGGCACTACATCAATTGTAAATTTAATTTCATGATCCACTAGCTCTCTTGGTAACTCCTCTGGAAAAACATTCGGGAATTCACGAACAATTGGAATTGTATCAACACACGCATCCGCTAGTTGTCCATTCAAAGTGCTACACAAATACCCCTGACAACCTTTTTGTAACAATTTACACGTTTTCTGTAACGACTCGGATTTTAAATTCACATTGGATTGATATATAGTGGTGCCTGTCATCTTAAAATTTGTATGGTTGTCGGACTCTTGATATTGATGGGTTGGCAAGTGAACTATATATATTATAATTGAGGACCCTTGGATGATGTTTGGAACCTTGATCGAGGCTTTAACAAGATATATAGATAAGATTAGATAAAAAGCCCCAAATTTGAGTTTGAATTTTTGACCAGCCGTCACTCTTTTGCCCTTTTCTCCTTCCATGCTTAGACTTTGAATGTGAGGTTGGAACCATTGGAAAGCTTGTTTCTGGGGCTTCAATTTGACACAATAACGGCCTAGAAAGGAGTCCCGATGAGAGAGTTATACCCGTTTGAAGTTTCCACATCTGTGCTGGAAGAAGAGCCGCACGTGCGGGGAATAGCGCCGCACGTGCGGGCTGTGCGGGACAGCAGCTCAAAAACGTGATTTTTGGACCATTTCTTACATTTTCTTTTCCTCTCTTCTTCTCCCATTTTCCATGTCCGAAAACTTAGCCCTAAAAACCTTGATTTCCTCCACTTTTATCAACAAATCAACTATGGATTTTGCATCAACGAAGAAGAACAAGTAAAGATCAACATTTTCAACCGATTGGATTTTGAAATTTCGAAGTTATGCTCTTGACCTAGCTTCCTTGCTTTCAATCTTGAGGTAGGGGTCCTAGTTCTCCTTCAATGCTTACATAAATAGATAGATTTTTGGTATTTTGGAGTATATAAATGCAAAATCTACATGTTGAGCATATAGGGTTATATTATGGAAATTTGGGGATTTCGGATTTGAAGAATTTGGGGTTTTATTGTTGGGTTTAGATTATGGATTATGAACCTAGGATATATAATCAAGGGGAAAATTGGAAGAAAAAAATAATGGGTTAAGAAGTTTGAATTTTTCTTGAAATTTCTAGGTTTTTCTAGAAACCCTAGGTTGATTTTTGATGATAATCAATTATTTGGCCCAAATTGAAAGTTGAATCATGAAATTGGTAGGTTGAATTATCTATGTACAAGTTTAATTGGAATTTGGTTATGTTTGAAAATTATGTTTAAAATTTGCGAATGAATTTTGTTATGAGCAATGTAAATCATGTTATAATGAGAAGGAAATTGGAGGAAATGATTTATAAATGATATAGATGACATAAACTCGGTTATGGAATGTTGAAATGGAATTTAAGAATTTCTCTTGAATTATGTTGAATTATATTTAATGATGTTGAGTTGAATCATGTTGCTTATGTTGAATTGTAGTGATTATGTGAGATGATATTGACTATGTTGACTTTGATTTTTATGACCTAAAATGTGGAGTTTTCCAAAATGGGTTAATCCCAAATTATTTTGCTAAATACTTGTGAGCTTGCTTAGTTGTAAAATCAAGAGAATGATTTAATTTTTGGAAAAATGTGGAAGATGTCCATACAATTCCTTCCTATCTTGAAATCGAAGTGATTGATTAAAAATTCCATATTGTGTTTGCAAGAATGGTAATCTTCTATTTCTATATATAGATATATTGAGATGGAGGAAATTGTGGTATAATGGATGGATAATGGTAGGCTTGTGAAGAATAATGAAGGAAGGAAAAAGAACTAATGACTAAGTTATATATGTGTACAGGGCACACTTCAGGAGGGCCAAGCACTCAGTTGTAGCACTGTGAGTAGTAGTACTTCAATGTATCTTTAACCATTAATGATTATTGTTATCGACGTTATGATCTTTGTCATAAGAATTATGTTGACACGCATGTTATGTATGCTATATGAGGGACATTGTGAAATTATGGAAACATGAAAAAGGATTTGTGAAATATGCATCTCGAATTTGTGAAGTATGGATCACCAACTTGTGAAATATGAAACGATGTGGCCGAGGGCCATTTGTGAAGTATGAATTTCCGAATTGTGAATTGTGAATTTATGAGGCCAGGGGCCGACTTGTGAATTTATGTGGCCAGGGGCCATTTGTGAAATTATGAAGCTATGAAGCCAAGGGCCAAACTTGTGAACTTGTGAATCCAAAGGGCCGAAGGCCAATGTGCTAAGTTGTGAATCTATGAAACCTAAAGGCTATTGTGAATGTGTGAACCCCTCAGGCCAAGGGCCGAACTGTGGAATTGTGAAACCGATAAAGTCATCTGTAATCTAATGAAAATGTGCTTACTTTGTCCTATTAACTTTACGTTAATTATGTCAACTCGTGGGAATGATGTAACGGTTACCATTAGGACTCTATTAATTACAAGGCAAGGCAACTACGTTAACATATAAGAACGATTAAACAACGGTGTATACTATTGATTAATAGAGCACGTAGAGTAAGTCATTTACCCAAAAGAGCTTATGTTCATTCTTGAATGATGGATTCTGAGTAAATATAAGAGTAACTATGTGTATCCATATGAATTTGAAGTTATTTTGCTTTTTGCTATGTTGCTTATGAATTTAGGAAGGTTAATTTAGAATCTACAGTTATAAGTGCAAAGCTTTAGCATTTGTATGTCGACTCTCATGAGAAAATGTGGAATTAGTTTCTCATTGTTAAGATAATGACATGATACAACAAGAAACGCTCTAGTTATAATATGTTCCGTTTTGAATTAATGAATGATGTTCAAGTATGCTCAGGTATGTTTCACGTATATGTTACGAGTTTGAATATACTACAAGGTCAAACAAGTTTCAAGGGCTTTATGCCAATGTTTCAAGGGCCTCGTGCCACCACATTTCAAGGGCTTATAGCCATCAAGTTTATGTTGCAAGATTGGGTCTAAGGCCGTTATGTACTTAGCACAGAATCAGACTATTACATTGACATGTATTATGTTTCAAGTTAAGCATCATTTTATTTATGTATTACTATTCACTGAGCCCGGCTCACTCTCTATTATGTCTGTTTCTGTAGGTCACCAATCAGGTGGTCAGTCCTAGCCAAGACGCCTGCTTTCTTTTGTCAACCTTCGTATGTCCAGGCACTGTATAAGCCATTTATTTTGTCAAGTTGTTAAGATGTTGACTTGCTTATGGGTGTCCCCCTAAGGTTGTTGTATATACTTTTATGTTCGTTTTTTTTTGTATACGCCCAATCATGGGGCTAGCATTGTAAATGTGTATGTATATGCTCCGGGTTATAATTAGAACTTTATCTATCCACTATAATGCATGTGATGAATGAGATCCTGGCATGTAGAAGTAGCTCAATGGAGTTTATTTGTTTCATTATTTCCATTTTTTCGTACTTCTGATAAGGCCCCGTATGTTATGTTACCAGGTTACGTGTCTGTTTCTGAATAGGTCATGCCCAAACTTTTAGGGGCGGGTTTGGGGCGTGACAAGTGGTATCAGAGCACGAGTTGCTATCTCACACACGAATCCATTGAGCTTTAGGATGTCTAGAAAAGACTTAGGCATCATGCATTAAATCCATAGTGCATATGAAAGAAAGTGATGGCAACGTTAAATGCAATCTGTTAACGCTAACGATTATCACCCCTGTCCATTGTATATTCTTTGTGTATATTGTGCTTGATTGTGATGTAGAACATGGTAAGACATGCAGATGGGGTTAAATCAACAGAATTGCACAGCGGAAGCATGGTAGGGGTTCGAGCTGATTGGTAAGACAGTCCCTATGTCAATGATTAAATAAGATGTATGTTATCGATTGTTATTTGCGAATTGGAAGTTGCTTATCATCTGTTTAGATGAAGTGATTAAACCCTAGGTATGGAATAATCCTAAGACTAAAGAAAATGATATAGTCTTCCTTGTCACAACAATGTTTAGATCTGTGATTTTGTGCAATTACTGCATATGAGTATTTTGATAAGATGTGTTTGTGGGCTAATTGAACTTGTGTTGAATACGAATGGCTGTTTGAAGAAATTATGTATATAATGACCCCTCTTAGAATTGTGTGTAATTTGTTATGGAAGTCTGTAATTTGAAATTTGCATTATGAAATATGAAATATGAAATTCGACATTTGAAATCTGACATTTGACTCTGTTATCTGTAATCTGTTTTGTTATGTGTAAATTATAATCTGTAATTAAAATTCCATATAAAGAATGGTTGAACGACATAAAGGACCTTACCCACATTACGTGTTTGCTTGTGTGAGACTTGTAAAAAGGGAGGCAGCTAATGACTACTTTGAGAACAACCCAATTAATTGATAAACTGATAAGTTACCGCAAGAATTAAAATCCTGCCTATGTATGTTATGATGAAAGATTAAGAAATCATTTTTATGAAAATTTCTGTGTAAATGTACAAATGTTAGATATTGCGATTTGTTAAATTAATCCCTACTCCGTATTTGAAGGATGTAATGTAAACTGTTCTGCCCAACACTGTGAACAGA